CAAGTTTTTGACTCTGACATGTAGTAAATATATCCTCTCTTCAAGTTTTTGACTCTGTCAATCTGTACATATATCCTCACTTCACGTTTTTGACACTAAAATGTAGTAACTTTAACCTCTCTTCAAGTTTTTGACTCTGACATGTAGTAAATATATCCTCTCTTCAAGTTTTTGACTGCCAGATAGTAAATATATCATCTCTTGAAGTTTTTGACTACCAAATAGGAAATATATCCTCTCTTCAAGTTTGACTCTGACAAGTAGTAAATATATCCTCTCTTCAGATTTTTGACTTTGACAAGTAGTAAATATATCCTCCCTTCAAATGTTTGACTCGACAAGTAGTAAATATATCCTCTTTCGAGGTTTGACTCTGACAAGTAGTAAATATATCTTCTCTTCAAGTTTTTGACTGCCAAATAGTAAATATATCCTCTCTTCAAATGTTTTGAATTTGACAAGTAGTAAATATATCCTCTACTTTAGTTTTGACTGCCAAATAGTAAATAAATCCTCTCTTCAAGTTTTTGACTCGACAAGTAGTAAATATATCCTCTTTCCAGTTTTTCACTCTGACAAGTAGTAAATATATCCTCTTTCGAGTTTTTCACTCTGACAAGTAGTAAATATATCCTCTCTTTAAATATTTTGATTCTAACAAGTAGTAAATATATCCTCTAATTAAGTTTTTGACTGCCAAATAGTAAATATATCCTCTCTTCAAATTTTTGACTCGACAAGTAGTAAATATATCCTCTTTCGAGGTTTGACTCTGACAAGTAGTAAATATATCCTCTCTTCAAGTTTTTGACTGCCAAATAGTAAATATATCCTCTCTTCAAATGTTTTGACTCTGACAAGTAGTAAATATATCCTCTCTTTAAGTTTTTGACTGCCAAATAGTAAATGTATCCTCTCTTCAAATTTTTCACTCTGACAAGTAGTAAATATATCCTCTCTTCAGATTTTTGACTCTGACAAGTAGTAAATATATCCTTTCTACAAAGTTTTTGACTCGATAAGTAGTAAATATATCCTATCTTCAAGTTTGTGACTGCGAAATAGTAAATATATCCTCTCTTCAAATTTTTGACTCTGACAAGTAGTAAATATATCCTCTCTTCGACTTTTTGACTCTGACAAGTAGTAAATATATCCTCTCTTCAAGTTTTGACTGCCAAATAGTAAATATATCCTCTCTTTAAGTTTTTGACTACCAAATAGTAAGTATATCCTCTTTTCAAGTTTTTGTTGTGACAAGTAGTAAACATATCCTCTCTTCAAGTTTTTGACTCGACAAGTAGTAAATATATCCTCTCTTCAAGTTTTGACTGCCAAATAGTAAATATATCCTCTC